CTGCTGGTAGGTCCTGATCCACTTGGACCTCTCCCGCTGGTAGGTCCTGACCCACTAGGACCTCTCCTGCTGGTAGGTCCTGATCCACTTGGACCTCTCCCGCTGGTAGGTCCTGACCCACTAGGACCTCTCCTGCTGGTAGGTCCTGATCCACTTGGACCTCTCCCGCTGGTAGGTCCTGACCCACTAGGACCTCTCCTGCTGGTAGGTCCTGATCCACTTGGACCTCTCCCTCTGGTAGGTCCTGACCCACTAGGATCTCTCCTGCTGGTAGGTCCTGATCCACTAGGACCTCTCCTGCTGGTAGGTCCTGACCCACTAGGACCTCTCCTGCTGGTAGGTCCTGATCCACTAGGACCTCTCCTGCTGGTAGGTCCTGATCCACTAGGACCTCTCCCGCTGGTAGGTCCCGATCCACTTGGACCTCTCCCTCTGGTAGGTCCTGTTGCTATTTTTTAGCCTCTGAAGGGGCTGAAATTAACCTATGATGCAGGTTATAACTAACCTTGATGGGAATAAAATTACTCGCAAAGTGGAGAGTTCGAATAAAAATTACCCTTTCTTAGGTAATTTTGGAATTGATTTCGAAATTATTTTGTAGGCTCAAAATTGCCTTTTGGATGGGTCAAAATAACCCTCATTGGGAATAAAATACGTACCCCTCAAAGGGATCAATATTAACATTCAAGTGGTTATAATTAACTTTAAAGGAATTAATATTAACCTAAAACAAGTCTGAATCAACCTACGGTAGAGTGTTACTCTCAAGGCATTCACCACGACGAGTAACCTCTCTATTTTGCGAGTTTAGCTCTTCCTTTTAAAGTTGATCTCGTAAAATGTTCACGAGAATATTGCTTTATCAAGCATAGTCGGTTTCTCAACCCCTATATAGATAATGTAAATATCGGTATTAACATATTATGCTGTATTAATAATACGGTTATGAAGAATATTATCCAGTATATGATGGTAGAAGCAGTAGAATTATCAGTATTAGAATAAGCCAATAATACGGTCAAGAAGTATAGGTATTATGCAGTGTTTGATGGTAGAAGCAGTAGAATTATCAGTATTAGAATAAGTCAATAATACGGTTGTGAAGTATATTATACAAAATATACGTAGTGGTAGAAGTATTAGAATTATTAGTATCAGAGCACGTCAATAATACGGTTATGTATGACAGGGCTGGGAGCGGCGGTCGGACAACGGACGCGTGTACTTCGTGAACCATCGCAACAGAACCACGCAGTGGGATGACCCACGCACTCAGGGGTGAGTCATACCACGCAGTGGGATGACCCACGCACTCAGGGGTGAGTCATACCACGCAGTGGGATGACCCACGCACTCAGGGGTGAGTCATACCACGCAGTGGGATGACCCACGCACTCAGGGGTGAGTCATACCACGCAGTGGGATGACCCACGCACTCAGGGGTGAGTCATACCACGCAGTGGGATGACCCACGCACTCAGGGGTGAGTCATACCACGCAGTGGGATGA